CAAGGTGTTTTCTGCTATGTGAGTTGCTACAGGGACCTTTGGCTTACAGATGAGAGGCTTACGGAAGAGCAGACTCTGGGATAAGTAACTCCCTGCAGGCGAAGCAGGCTGCCCTCAGTGTGTGCAGCCAGCCAGTGCCAGCCACAGTGCTCAGCTCAGCACTGCTGGGGGTGCTGGGTCTGGTCCTGCTGCGGGCAGAAGCTGGCTCTTGCAGCCTCAAGGTAGAAGCTATGGAGGGAGGCCGCTCTGAAAAGCTGTGGGGGCAAAGCAAGTCCTGTGCATCTGGCTGTGTGAAGTATCTAGGCTGGGAAGCAAAGTAGATGTGCAATTACCTTGTAAATCATTATTCTTGAGAACTAAAATACTACTCCTGTTTGATCCCCTTGGAGTGTTGCTATGCTAGGAAAATCCCTGCAAGTAGAAATTCTGGCAGATACACACTGAATCAATGGCAGTCTGGCAGCGATATGACTTTGTGGAATTAAAACAGTTACCTTCTCCCTTTCTTTGTGGAAAGCCTGTGGTGTGTTTGTAGGCTGCCAAATCTCTGGGTGAGGTGAGCATGTTTGAGAAGATCACATGCTCATTTTAGGTCTCTTTTTCTCTCTATGCTATTTAATATTAATGATGGAAGGTATTGTGTCAGAATGCTAAGTAATTGCTACCTGCGTAAGAAAGGAGTTTTAATTAACCTTTGAAAACTCTATTTACATGTTTTAGGATATATGAATAATGCATAAAGTGGTGCATTAAGTTTCTTCTCGAAGTCGGTCATTTTAGGATCAAGCTGTAGAAAACAAAGAGAAGAGTGGTTTCTTTTCTCTTGTGCTTTCCCTTCTTTAATCCCCCAGAATTCAGTTGAAGTCTTACACCAATAGGATTTCTCACTAAACTTCAAAGCTTAATTTAGTCTCTGCTGGAATGAAGAGAGGCATAAAACAGGCACAGTGGAATCCGTTGAAATGAATGGCTGCAAAAGAAATACAGGTTTGAAGAAAACAAACGTTCTGCATGATAGTTTAACAAAAACCTGCTGTGCTGGAGGGCGGGTGCTGAGCTGGGGCCCTGTGGTGGCTCTCAGCCCTGTGCTCCGTAGGGCTCCTCCATGTGGGGAGAGGCAAAGCTCTCTGGTGCCTTCCTGCTGGTGGGTGCTGGCAGTGCCTGCAGCCCTCTGCGTGTACCTGCGAACAATTTTCCAGAACATCATTTTAATAGCGTATGGCAGCATGGAAGATTTGGTTTATTTTCCAGCGTATTTGATGCTTCATGAAGGATGCAGACTGCTCCTTTTACTTCAGACTGCTCCTTTATAAGGCTGCTCGTCAAAAAAATTTCTTGTCATTAGCAAGGTATTTCTTTTAAATCATTTTTCTATCTGTGCTTCTTATCTGCTGCAACATGAATTTTCTTCAATGAAATGAGCTGTATAATTTTGCTAAGGCAGTGCTAAGTGCTTTATTGTAGAAGCATTACAGGTTAATGCAGACTTTCAACATGTCTTAAAGAACCAAAGGCTACGATCATTTGTTCTACCTCTGCAGCGGTTTTGTGATAATTGCTTGTAATCCAGTCACTGCAGGTCTGCAGGAAGCGCTCCAGTTACGCGGTATTTCTCCCAACGCGCTCTGCTGATGTAGAACTGACCTTAAAGATCTCTCCACTATAATCCGCGCGAGAAAATTGTTCTCCTTTTCAGTGATCTTAAGAGTGTGTGATGACCCAATGCCGCTGGTCTGGAAGTGCCAGCGCTCTGTGCTTGGTGCTGCTGGAAGGCAGTGGGCAGGATCGAAGGAGCTGTGGCCAAGGCCAAGTGAGGCAGGAGCTGGGCGCCACTCAGCCAGGCGTTGCTATGCGCTCCATCCCTGCCTGCTCCCGGCAGTGGAGTTTCTAGACAAATTCAGCAGGAGTGGAGTTGTGCAGAGGCCCCAGGGAGCAAGGCATCCTCTCAGACTTGCAGCTACGCTCCCTATCTCTGCCATCACCTGCCCACCCACCACCACACAGGGCTGCCGTGCTGGGCTGCTGTGCTTCTGCCTGCAAAACTGGGCAGGAGCAAGCAGGCGTGATGTGCTCAGTCAGCACATTCTTTAGCTTTAAAACCACCTCGTGTCAGCCTTCTGCCACCAGCTGTCCCACAGCTCTGTCCCCCACGCTGCCTCTGTGCCCCTCTGCTTCTCAGGGGTGCAGCACTGGGCTGCGGTCCGAGAGATGGCCCAGACTGAGGGATGGAGCTCTGCAGGAATGGTGGGGGAGCGCTGGCTCAGTGGAATGAGGTAGCATTAATTAGGATTGATTTCATTTAATAGTCTTTGGGTTTATCGCGCAGTCTTAACTGTTGCATAAAACATTTCATTTTAATAATGCACTGAAATTGTATCTCTTTTCATCTATGGGAGTGCTCTATGCCATTTTATGTGACTAAGAGCAGGCATTTGTTTCTTTGCTGCACTTACAGGCAGCTGGGCTGAAACTGGGTCTGTTAACAGTGCTCATGCCCAAGGCAAAGAAATGATGCATTTCCTGGTACAACCTGAACACTTGTGTGAGTTGCTGTAAGAAGCAAACATTGTTACTGCTTGAGAACCTGGACCGTGGTGGTCAGGTGGTGGATTAAGTATTGCAATAGGAAAAACTTCTGAGCTTAGAGCAGTTAATTAAAAATAAAGAGATGTTACAAGGAGAGAAGAACAGTGCTGGGACAAGGATCTCTTCTCATCTGAGTGTGAAGAAGGCTAAAAATGCCTTTCTCTGAGATGTTGTGGCTCAAAGGAGAAGAGCTGGCTTGGTTCTTTAATTTGTACATCTACAATTTTGTTAGAGTAATTAAAGGCTAATATAAAAAAGCAGATTAAAAGGATAGCTTCCTTAAAGATTGCTCTCAACTACCCAGGGTCAGAAGTAAATGATAAGTAACACAGTTGAGAAGTTGGATCTTTGTGGCTGCATAGATGTCACAGTGGAAAATGCAGTAACTCAGCTTTCTATATTTGAACATCTCATTATATTCAAGGCCATTGAAAGACACATTAAGCTCCAAAGAGGTGACACACAAGGTCTCTTGCTGAAAACCCATCCTTTAATTATTTTATGGAGGTTAATGTTGCTGTAGTAGAGTAGTAGCTTAGTCTTAGCAGTGAATTATAGGTTTCAGTTGAAATGATTTTAATGAAAAATTAATAAAGCAACTCAGAATGGCTGAGTTGTGTAAGGGCTGGTGATAACGTTCATGTTTTTACTGTTGCTTTAGAGGTTTTGTTTTGCAGCCAGTTTCCAGGAAGCAAAGCTATTTTCTGTCCTATTGTTCTGTCCTCTGTGCCTGGGAAGTTTACCTTTACTTTTTTTTTTTTTTTTTCTCTACCCTTTTTCTTTCTTTCTTTCCCCCTTTCTAGAAGACCTCAAGTGGACATGAGGTAAGCAGCTTGCAAGCAGAGATACCAGCCAGTGCCTTTCCCTGGAGAGATTCTCTCCTCCCTCCATATAAGAGTTTTCCAGGACCTCTGCTATGGCAGGGGGTGATGGGGTGATTGCTGCTCATGTCTTCAGGATGGGCCTGGCCAAAATTATTTCTGCTTTTGTGCTCATGGCATGTGCAGGCTTCAGGTCAGTTTGGTAGGGAATGTGACCTTATGTCTCTACTGCCTCTTGTCTGGGGAGATTTTAGTTTCAGTGGCTGGGGGATCAGCATCAGAGCACCTGGGAAATATGGCTCATGGACACAGTGAACCTTGTACAGGCTGCAGTGCTGGATCTGCAGATGTCTCCTTTTGTGGGTCCCAGCACTCATTGCTCTGGAAGAAGAGGAGGAATGCAAGCATCAGCAACTTCTGCCTTTAACAGAGAAGTAGGTTGAGGTTGTGGGGCAGCTGGAGGTTGGCACTGAGCTCCTGAGTGAACGGCTGGAGTGGAGCAGGTGGGATGGGCCAAGCCCTCGTGTGCAGCTATGAGTGGATGGAGAGTCTTCACTCTGCTTGTGTATTGCGACAGGATTGCTTGAAAAGTTCAAGGGTTAAACTCTTATTTTTTGAAATGTAGCATCTCTGTTTTGTTCTAACTGCCTGCTTATGACTCATCACAGCCTTAACTTCCTGAAGGAAACTGAAGGCTCGAGGGAATTGCATGCATGCTTCTATCTCTGCTATCCTACTGCTGAATATAAAATTAGGAGAAGAATATATGTGAACATCAACATGGCTTTTAATGGCATGGTAGCTTATTTTTTCTGACTAAAACATCCTGGTTAATTAAAGCTCAGTATGATGAGCATGTAGCTTGTTGAGTATAGGAAAACCTGCCTTGCAGGGAAATTGCTTTTCTTTTAATTTCCTTCATCCACTCCCACGTATCAGCAGGATGTGTGCATGCAGTAGGAGAAATAATTCAATAAAGCCTAACACTCACTACTTGGCTTTTACTCATGACAGCCTAAGATACAACTGAATTTGACTGGTTCTAAGAACTTCATTGTTAAGTGTCGTTCTGTGACCTGGCTGAAGCAAGGGAGTCCCAGTAAGATTTGTTCTGCAGTCTGTACTAGCTCTAACAATCTGCTTCTTCAGAGCCTTCTGCCCTCTAAGGCCTGCTCCGTCCCTCTGGACACAGAGGTCCCCTGCAGCATACCAGGAATTGTTAGATAACCTCTGTTTACAGACAATCCCTTGGGAAGAATGAAGAATCTCTAAACAAGCTGTGGGGAAAGTAGTTCAAACAAAGGTATCTGAGTCAGGTTTAGTAGGTCTTCTGCCAGAAGTCCTATGTAATTGAGGTAGACCTCTATAATCACGTTTTGAGTAACCTGATTTAGCTGTAGATGTCTGTTCATTGCAGGGGAGTTGGATTAGATGACCTTTAAAGTCCCTTCCAACTGTAAGGATTCTATGATAGTCCATGACCTGGACAGCACTAACCACACGTTTGGTTTTTCTCCTTCTGTGCCTGACCAGAGTCTGTGTATCAAGCAGAAATGTAAATAAAACTTGTACCCTGTCTTTTTTTAAAAAAACAAACAAACAAACACCAAATACTACTTATATTGCATGGATCAGCATAATGCCTGCACAACCTTCTTATGGTTTGCTGTGCAGTATTGAGGTCAGTCGTGGTAAAGTCTTGCCAAGTGCTTTTGAACTGCTGACTTGGGATAAAAGGTTAAAGCTGCACAGATCATTTATGCTTGTGAGATGGTGTCTGGGAAGGAAGAGGCTGTGATCAGTGTCTGTGCGGGCATCTGGGACGATTAAGGAGGGCAGCAAGAGTAATAAATGTGTGTTAGACTGCCAGTTTGGAGATGACTCCTGGCTGTTAAATGGCAGTTCTGCAGCCTTCTTCCTGGGGGAGTAAGGACTAAAAAATGCTGCAATTCTTTTTAAGATGGAATGCAGTGTATTTGTGAGAATAACTCACGTGTGGTAGTGCAGGCAGCAGCAGGGTTTGTGCCTTGGCCCAAGAAGTGCTTGGCTACTCTTACTATCTGAAGTGTGTACTTAGGAAATAGATAAACACACGTAGGTATCAGTTTATTATGTACCTGCGTATATAAGATGTGTGTAATGTTATATATAAAACATAGAGACATCCCCTGTTCCTCATCTGTGGGCATTGGTTGGCTATAACAAGCCGGGTTTTTGGGAGGTGCCAGAGCCCTGCGCCCGTCCCAGCACTGCCCCACAGCTCAGCCCTTCGCCTCGCTGCCAGCTGCCCTGGAGCGAGGAGGGACGGCTCAGGTTGGCATCTGCTGACCTGACGCACGGTGCCCTGCCTGCGTTCCTTTACAAATATTAACAGCTGGTGTTTAAAGAGTGTGCTTCCCTTGCTGAATTTCAGGGATTTTTTTTTTCTTTTTCTAGTAATCCAACTTTAAGGATGTTTCTACAGCTGCATGGAGTGGCATTCTGCAGCTTTGCCTGCTTTTCTGTCATTAACATTTCAATGACAATCATTAAGAGGTACAGCTTAGGTAAAAAAGGAAAATGCTGGAGGTTAGTTTTAAGTGCAGTTCAGGTAGTGGAAGCTGTATGAAGCTTTCCAGCTCCCTCTGCTACAGCCTCTTTTGCTCTGTACTTTTCTTTTTTTTTTTTTTTTTAATTTTTCCCCCACTTGCATTTTCCTGGACTTATGAGGAAAAAAGTAAGCTTCAGAGCTACTTTTCCTTTACTTGTGCCACTTCTGCCGATGACAGAGGGCTCTTGGCTTTGTGTATCAGCCCTGCAGCCTGGGCACCACAGGGGCTGTGCTGGTCGGGCTGAAGTGCACTTCATGTTTTGTTTGTGACAGTTTTATTGTATTCAGTGCCAGTGACACACAGAGGAAAGCCCAGCTCCCTTTATACAAACTTCTTGTTTTATTAAAACTAATGTTTTTGGGCAGGTTTTCAAGGAATCCCTTACTTCGCATGAACAGAAGTGCCTCACAGTCCCTCCAGTTGTGCTGCTCACTGGGTGCTCCCCAGCACAACACCGGGCACAGGGGCAGTGAGCAGCTGTGCAGACCTCTATTCCATCACTGGGCTGTGGCTGGTGAGAGCATGGGGCCAGGCTGGGCCAGGCCGATGGCCCTGCAGAGGGAAGCTGTGGGCTGTGCTGAGAAGGAAGAAACATATTTTTCTCAAGTGCTCAGATGAAAATTGTTTATCGGTGTTGCCACTTTTTTCCTCCTTTGCGTATGCCTGCTTCCAAACCGATAGCCATGAAATCCCCATCAGCAAGGAGCACCAGAGCTCTGCCGTGAGGCTCTGGCTGTCTATGTGTAGAGCAGCACCTGTAGGCAGATGGTGGTGGCTTGGCCTTGTTCTGCCAACCAAATTCTATCTGCTGTTTGCCTTTTGGAACACCTAGTGTCCTGAAGAACACCTCAGAGCAGAGAGAATTTGCATTGCTCAGGAGACTCCCCAAGTATCTTTGCTTTAGCTGCTATAAAGATCTAGTCTCATTTTCCTTAAAAAATTATTTTTAAGCACAGTTGAGTGCTGCCATGCTATCATCTTGGCACATACTCTCTGGGCAGCCCTGTGAAGTTTCTTCCCCTCAGGGCCTCGTCCACTGTCAGGATGTATCTGTTGATAAGATCTTTCATTTCTTGGGTGAATGGTTCAAAATCTTTTTGCTTAGCACCAGACCGCTTAAAGTTCCCATCCCTGTTGTTCTCGACACAGAGCAGACGGTCCTCCGTCACTGTCATGTTCAAGAACTCCACCATCTCCTTCAGCTTGGGGATGAGGCTTTGTTTCAGGTCCTCATAGTGGATGACAAGCAGACGCTTTCCGTACTTCAGCCAGTCCAGGACATGGGAGGCCCACCAGGAGGCATAGCTGTTCACGAAATCTGGCCAGTCTAGATGATGGGAAAACCAGGAAAATGAGAACATATTAGCCACGATGCTTCCACAGTGTTCCAAGTATTAAGTTGGAACAAGGTTAGAGGTGCTGGTCATGTATGAGGTAGTTGGGTGTGAGTGCTGGAGAAAACAACACGGCCAGCCACAGGGCTGCAGCCACTCTCAGCTCTGCAGTCATAGTGAGGAGATGGGCACTGCTCTCCCACCGTGCGAACTGGTGAGGACACAGAATTCCCAAATGCGTGGCCACCAGGCACGTGATCTCCTTGGTGTCAGGCATTAGCAGTGCTGAGAGTCACTCAGCTGCCTGGGAGCCCCTTGGGGTGGACAGGCTGCACAGGTGCAAAGCTGCAGGTCAGCATCTTCAATGTGCTGTGCTTTTAGGAGCTGAACACTCCTCTTTGCACAAGCAGGCAGCTCCGTGCAGGAGCTAGGGAAGGGCAAAAAGAGAAGGGAGAAGCATTTGGATGAGAGCAGTGAAGCAGAACTGAGCAGGTCCTGCTTGGCTGCTCATTTGAGCAGTTCTTTGCCACATTATTTCAAGCAGATACATATTTTTTTTTTGCCTCTGTAGTTTTTTTTTTTTTCCTACATTTTTACCTCTGTTTCAAATGTAGTTTGAGAAAGATATGGGGGCTATTCTATATTTCATATATATGTGTACATATAAATATACATGTAAGTGCAGCATTGAGACCCTGGTTTTGGCTGGGCCTGGGGTGCTTCTCAATCCAGAGGAGTTGAGCAATGTAACTTTCTTACTGCTTCTGGGGAGATGGTTTAAGGAAACAGGATTAATAGGGAAGGTGCTTCTGTTCCTGGCACATGGGAAGGATTTGCCATCACGTGCCAGGATCACTGTGACAAAGTTTACTGAAATACTTTCCTGCTACTGCCATATGTGACACCTTAATCTCTTGTTAGATGCCTGTGGTAATTTTCTGAAGGTCAAGCTGAAGGTTTTGCACTGGATAAAGTGCAACTGTGGCCAAAATATGACTATTTGTAGTTTGCAGTACGGGAAAGCCACTCTCTCCAGGCTGTGTTTCCCTTTTCTGAGGGCTGTTTTGGGTTTTAATAAATGGATCTTGAGCTGTGGCTGATGAAAGGCGATGTAAGGACTTGGGAAAGAAACATGCTGTGACTAAGGGCACGCTCCTGCTGTCCCCCGAGCCCTGTGCTAAGTGGTTTGCCTAGGCACAGCTTTTATGCCTGAAATGCATAAGGGGAGAGATGTGTGCTGACTCCTTCCTTTGCTGCAGTCTGAATGCAGCGTTGTGTGCAGCAGGGATATCACAGTCCCACCATCCAGCAGTCATTTTGTGCGTTCATAGAATGCTGAAGTCCCCTTATTGCTCCTATCTTTATTTATCTGCAATGCAGTAGCACCCATACAGTGCTGTAAAATTTCCTTCAGGAAAAGTCATGCTTCATCAAACCCTCAATTTTAAATTAGATTTCTCTCTGTTATTACATGCTGCAGGGGCAGACTTCCTTCAGAGTGCACAGCCTGACGGATGGGCTGCACACCAGGCATTCTCTGCTGTGTGCTCCTCTGGTTGTGACACTGCAGTGCAGGTGCTGCACTGCTGTCAGTGGCGACAGGCAGAGCCTGCGTGCTTCTGGGTCTGGTCTCTGTGTGGTGGTGCTTGAGTCCCACTGAATTGCAGTGCTCCCTCAGGTTTTGGGATCAGGTCCCCGTGTTTCCCTTCCCGGCATGATATGACTACAGGCTTTGAGCTCTGACTGCAGCAGCCCTGGGTGCCCCACACGCTACCTTTGCTCTTCCAGTTGCGGTCTGCAGCGTAGCCCAGATGCCCAGCGAATTTCCTGTTGAACTCTGCCATGAGTGACTTGTATGGGTTTCGTATCAGCAGGATAGCAGAGTCAAACATTTCAATCTCCGTCTTGCCACTTTCATGTGTTTTCACGCAGATGGTCCGTCTACTTCGCCAGTGGTCTTTTTCTCCTTTAAAGCCTGTTTATAAGACAAGATTGTTGTTTTTTTTTTTTTCCCTGTGACCTTATGTCTGTGACATTTTACACTCCTAAACAAGGCCTTACTGTTGTGAAAACACCAGTTGATTAAACTTGCTGCCCACCTGGGACCAGGGCTGCTGCCAGCAGAGTTACTGGGGCAGGAGCCACCCTGTGAGCTCCTCGTTGTCTGCTGGGATCAACAGCAGCGATGGCCTTGGGTGGCTCCAAGCAGAAGGATGCTGGAGCAAGCACAGCCCCGTGCCTCAGAATGGCTGTGTGTCCCATCACCCCCTGAGAAGGGTACCTTTGTTGTAGAGGGCTCCATCGAAGTAGTAGCTGCCTGTGTAGTAGCCTGTGGCATGCTCGATCAAATGGCGAGCCCACGTGTTGCCAGCCCCTGGGAAGCTTGACAAAGCAATGAACCCTTTGGATTTTGTGGTTAGGAATTTCCTGTCTGTACAGCGGGTGTCTGTGGGTATAGAAAATAATTCATTGTTAGCATTGTGGTTTTTTAATTAATTCCACTGACAGCCTTTGATTACAGGGTTTATTGCTTTTTTTCTCCCTTACAAATATAGGCTATCAATTTAAGTCTAGTTGTGAGTCAGCTACTTCTGAAAATTAACTCAGCCATAAGGGGCCAAAGAGATTATCCTCAGAAAAGACTTTCACTGGTTTTGTGTTAGGTGACACTTCTTATCAGAGTTGCAGTGAACCATTCTACTTGCCAGCAAGTTGTTATAAAAGCCCCTTGATGTCTGTTTGCTAGCTGCTGTTTGCCTGGCAGGCTGACTCTGCAGTGAAACCCCAAATATGTCACTGTACCTGGAAACAGCAAGTTTTATAACGCAGGAGAAACTCTTACTGAAACAAACTGCACTCAGTTCAGCCTCTGGGTTATGGTTCTCCTCCAGAAAAGGGCCCAAATCAGTTAGGAGCCCTCCCAGTGCTGACTGCCAGCAGGGTCTGAACAGAGCTCTCCTGCCAGCTTCTGTAAGTCCTGCCCATATGGCTTGGTGTGCATTAAAAGCAAGTGCAGGGGGAAAGAGTGAGCTTCAGCTATGTGATGACTCAAAAAGAAGCCAGGAAATAAATTAGACATCAGTCATTTTGTTCTTCAAAGCAGCCTTCAGATGAAGCCATGGCCTGAAAGTGCCGGCATGGTGCCAAGAAGACTGTCTTGTGCTGCTCCTTATCTACACAGATGTGGTAGATAGTAGCAGTTTCATGAAAGTGAGCATTCTTCTTGCATGGTCTTTATGCACACTGTTATTTGCAGTCAACCTCTGAACTGGGAAATGGAGCAAAACAATGGATGTTGGGAAAAACACAGTGCCTCTCCAGTGAAGCACTTCACTTTAAGCTTGTAAGTACTTTTGTGGAACATGGTGCAAACCACTGCATGGAAGAAGCTACAGGTACTACCTTGATGGTTCACTGGATTTTGGGGCATTGCTATGCATTACACTCTGGCTTTGGCACGTAGAAAGATGAGTATTTTGGAGGAGGACAGTCAGAGCCTGCTGAGCTGTCTCTGTGCCTGCCTAACAGGCTGGTGTGTGCTCAGGTGGGGTCCTGGCCCCAATGCCTTGGGTTTGGCTGCGCAGGTTCTGCCTCCTCTTCATCTGAAAAACCATTATTTTTCTTAGTGGAGGGGCTGTGCAGCTTAGCAAGAGACTGTTTGGATTTGGAGAAATGCTTATGGGCGTGACTGTGAGATGAGGATTTAGGCAGGGGCTGTTTTCTCGCTGCCCGTGCGCTGTGGGTAAGGCTGCTGTGAGGCAGGTGTTCCCGCGTGCTGCAGGAGGGGCTGGGGCTGCAGGGCCGTACCTTGCACCGGGGTCTGGTAGGCCTGGCAGTACCCCCCTGCGGCAGCGCTGCTGGCGTTGGGCATCGCGCTGCACAGCCGCCGGTCCGCGCCGTGCCGCAGTGGGAAGCGCGCCGTGGGGTACCCGCAGTAGCACTCCTGCCCCCGGATCACTGCCAAGGGGAACTCCTGCGACGAGAGAAAACAGATCAGTGCGCAAATGCCGCGGCATCAGCAGCCTGTGGGGAATGCTCCTGTTATGCAAAGGAAGATAAATCTTCACAAGCCGCTGTCAGGATCAAAGCAGTGTTTGATATATCACTGTAAAGCTCGTTTCTTATATCGCTGCTGTCTTTCACACTGCAATTTCTTAAAAAATGGTTTTAAGACAGGTCTTGTAAGGCTTGAAAACTCACAATGCTGTTTTTTCATTATTCATAAAAACATATAATTCGATACTGTTCCTTCAATCCTAGTACATAACTGCACCTGAAACTTCAGTAGGGAAAAGGCTGTTCTTATTTACCCCTCAAGTGAGCGTTTTGAATTGCACCGTCTTTACAAGTTCCATCTACAGCCCTCCAAACAGAGGAGTGAGCTGCAGTTATGCTTAGAGTCATAAAAAGTTTGCATCTTGCTATGACTCCTTCATGGTCTGCGAAACCCCAGTGTCTGCAGAGGGGCTGGCGCAGGTTTTGAGCACTACTGTCCTTATTTTTATGGAACAGCTGCTTGGGACCACAACAGTAAGCCAGTCCTGTGGCATCTGCTGTGGGCTGGAGCTGCTTTGCGGGCACAGCACCTCCTGCTTCTCGGTGGGGATGCCTCACCTGGGCTAACTGCTGTCAATGACAGACCCCTTAGCGGAACGAGCCTGCTGCTGTAGATGGTGTTTGTCTCAGGGAAATAATTCACAGTGACATTTCTGGCTACAAGACATTTCTTTTCAATGTGTTTGAATCAGGTTTTTGGTTTACTGATCTTATCCAGAGAAGGGATCAAGTTGCAAAGCAGCTTTGCTGTGCTCTGCAACAGATGCAGAATGGTGGTGCTGGGCCACTCTGCTAATACTGATGAGAATTAATAGAGGGGTTTGGAGGAAAACATCTGTTTGCTGAAGAAATTAGTGGATGTTTAGGAGTTCCACAAAAAAAGTACATTTACTAGTTTGCAAAAATTGGCCCAAAAATTCAGCCCTCATCTCTGCCAGGAGACTGGGAGTGTATTTTCTTAGACTTCCAAAGTCCTCTGGTGTGTGGTGCATCAGTATGCGTGGAAGGGCTTGACCTCAATGACAGTGGCTGAAAGAAGCTCAGGGGTTATTGGAGCGCAGAGCATTCAATTCTACCTATTCCATAACAACACTTCTTGCCTTTTAAAAGTCTTCTGAAATCTGGGAGCACGTGCCAGGACTACTGAGCAGCTTATCTCTTGCTCTTCTCCACATGTTCATCCTCTGATAAGGAGTCAAATACAACTAGTGTGCCATCTGTGCCCAAACAGCCAAAATTTGCTTAGTGAATGAGGTACGACATTGTCAAAATCTATTTAGTGACTTGATCCAAGGGCAAAATAGTTCTGTCTGCCTGCAAACAGAAATCTTCCCTTTTGCTGTGAAGCAATGTTTCTCCGTTTGAGAAATGAACAAACATCCTGGCCCTAAAGTGCAGACTGGAATAAGAATGCACTGTGTCTCCTGCCAAGTGGCACCTGCGAGGGACTCTTTTTGGGAAGGACGCAGGTTTTCTCAAAAGACCTGAGCAGGTGCTTCCCCACTCTTCTGCATTTCTGTGCAATCATTGTCATGAGGGCAAAGCACGGGCAGTGTAGTACGGTTCTGTGACCACTCTGCGTCACTACCGAAATGGTTCAGGCAACAGGGACCTGCGGCTGATGCTTGGCCCGTGCAGAGGTAGCCAGGCTGCTCTCCATGTGTGCAGCCTTCCTGCTGCTCAGGCAGCACTGTAAGAGCACTCTTTCTGGCTTTCCCTTTTTTGATTCTTTCTGCAGGTGTTTCAGTGCCTTTCCCCAGCTTTCCTGCAGTTGGGCTTAGGTTTTCATTGTAAGCAGTAGTAAAAACTGTGTACCTGGACTCTGCTCCCATTGCCTCCACTAGCTTTTGTACTAATGCTATCCCTACATAATAGCATGTAGCTGTGTCTAGAAACCAAAACAGCAGGTCGGTTTTGAAATTAGAACATCTAGGAAGCATCCTAGAAGTGGTCAAGTCCAAGTGTGCAAAGTTGCTGGAATGGCTTTTGGATCCTTTGAGCTGGTGGGGTTCTCTTCTCAAGACTTGCATGCCTCATTTTTGTTTTCATTGTATGTAACTATAAAAAGTAGCTGAAAGGTAAAATGACTGAATATATAAAAATATAAATTCAGATGGAGATGGCTAACTTACTATGCAGGTTGGCTTTCAAAAAAGCATATATGAAAATTATGGCTTCTGGCAAAGAGATACATTCATGGCTCTGTGTTATGGGGTGATAATGGATAGCTATTAAGGCATATCATCACTCATAATTAAGAAAAAAAGTGATCAGTAGTGCTATTTAGCAGATTTCTTAAAGTTTTGTACCTCAGATTCATCTCGCATGCTTCCAAGGACTAGAGCTTTACTCTTGTGACTGCACAAAGCCATTTGCAAGACTAACAACTAAAGGTGCTGTGTTGCAGTTTGGTTTTCTTCAAAGTCCCCACAGACAAGAGAGTAATTTGTGTATTTAAATATAGGCCTCAAACCAGTCCCATGAAAAGCCCACCGGCCTCTTCAGAACGCACGGGACTTGAGGGAATTATTCTCTTTTGTGCAATGGGTGGAACTAAAATGAGCATCCTGTCCTGACTGCAGGAGAGCTAAGTCGTTCTGTGTCAGCCAGGAAGCTGTCCATCTTGATCTGAAAGGAAAGGATCTGAAGTCAGGGTGAATATTTCCACTGTTATCACAGGGCTCGCTCTGTTGTCTGGAATCAAAGCTCACACTGGTTTTTCACACTCCAGCCCCACTTCTCTTGAGTTGCTGGCAGTTTGTGTGCACTGTAGTTTTTTCTGCATTCTGAACTGGGTTGGGTCATAGTAAAGCTTTTTTACTCTGCTTGATTATTTGTAGGAAGTGTACACTGAAACAAACTATGAAATTGGATTGTGACCTTTTTCCCCAAAGCACCTGCAATCAGTGTTGCGTAGGTTTCATCGAAAAATTCTAGCATGGACTTCATGAGCTTTTCCTTCCTGCATCATTCATTCACAGCTAATACACAGCTTTTGCATTTGTGCCAACAACATGCCGAATTGCTTCTATGTCTGCCAACAAGTATGCCCAAAATGGCATTGCCACTGCAGGAAAAGGAGAACATGGCTTCAGGGAAATGTAAAAACAAGAAAAAATGTAATGGGGTATTTTTTTGTGTGTGTGTTGTGTATCGTTTTGCTTGGAGATAAGAAGTGGTACTACAGTAGGCAAGAAGTGAGCACTGTGATATCCAAATGGTGTGCAGCAGTGGGGACTGTGGCTATGCCACTGCTGCTTTCCAAATGCAGGGGGATTTTGCCAGACTTCTTGCAGGCAAATCATCATTGTCATCATCATCACAGATGTTCTCTAATGCTTGATTCTGGAAGGTCAGCATGGTGCCTGGCATCACTGGGTATTGGCTCCGGTGAGTTTCGTCCTTCAGAAACTTATTCACAAATTTAGAGCTCTAGGGCACTAATCTCTGCTATTCCTTTAGTAGATTAAAGTTTAAAGTAACAAAAAAGAAGAAAGGATGTGAAATGAGAACTGTTCTTACTTTCTTGGAGCAAAATTCAGAGCACATCTCCACCGTCAAATTGGGCTGTATCAAAGAGGCTGGAAAGGTGTCTGTTAAATTTTCTGGAGCTCTAAAACATCCTCGATAGATAACATTCCTCCCTGCAGGGATATGAAATAGGTTTCTCTTGAGAAAACAACGTCCATGGTATCCTGCCTCTATCACAAAGAACAATATTAGGTTCAGAAGCTAGAGAATAATGAAGAAAATCTCATACTCCAAGTACTTTAGAAATAAGAGAAACCATGATATACACTAGAAAAATGTGTTGCAAATCCTGTGGTATTAAAGGAGCACATGCTTTTGGCTTTTACTAACCCCTGAAAGCAGAGTGCGGCAAGGAGTTTAAATTAAATTCCATCAGTGGAGGGCATTGCTATTGTTTGCAACTCCTAGTTTTCTTTTGAAGACATGCCTTCCCCTGAAAGGCTTAAAAGCCCTGATAAAAATCTACAAAGCTTCCCCTCATCTGCGCCAGAAAAGGAATTTAAATGAATCCTGAAAGCCCCCGCGGGGACCCACCTTCCTGCACATCTGCTCCTCCTCTTCCCCTTCCCTCGCCTTCTTTTCAGGGCAAGGGAGTTTGCTGCAGTCTTCAAAATCTGAACTAGGCGTTTGTAAGCTGCTCAGGGAGAACTGCTTTCCTGACGTCTTTAGCATCAGCCTCTGATCTGACCTGCCCCTCTACATACGCTGCCGAGCCGGGCAGAATTGCTCCATTTTTATTTTTATTTTTTTGCATCGCTGATTGAAGTCGGAGTGTGGCCCAATGGGAGTTACAAGCAGCAGTGCAATTCTTCCCTCCTGCTTCAGAAGTGTCCCTGACAGAACCCAGCAAAACTCCAGAGCTATCTATCGTGGAAGCTCCCTGGCGATGCATTCTCCCAGATGAGCTAACTAATGGTAATGGAGAAAACAACCTGCGCGTGGCTGGGTTAGAAAAGGGAAGAGGTCCACATGCTGTGCGACACTGCCGTAGTTCTTAGGATTCTCTGAGCTTTACAGATGTGGAAAATGTCTTCATCTCTCTGTATCAACTCTCCATTGTCATAATTCACCCAAAGTGACTTAATAGGGCTAATGGTCTCTTTGGGTCTTTCGAGTCTTGGTCTGCACCCACTGGCCACCACAAACAGAACTCACCAGAACCAATGTGGGAAAGGGCTGCAGCTGGATGGCAGCGGATGGGCAGGGCAGTTCTGAAGGCTCCTGGGGAATGCGCAGCTCCCCAGGCTGCAGAGATGCACGCTTCACGCTTCTGCACTTGTGGGGTGAAGGGGACACAAGTCCTGTGTCTGCCCACAGACAATGGGCACAAGCAGCAGAGCCTTGTTGGGAGGGCAGTGTTGTGCCTACTGCACCGGGAGCTGCTGCCCGAGCTGCATTCTGCACTGCTGCTGTCCCTCATGGATTCTGCTGGTTTTAGAGTTACTTCCCAATATACTTTCACAATTATCATTGTGATTAATGCTTTCGTTGGCCACTCAGCTATCTTGATCTCAGTGGTAGTTTTCAAACAGTCAAACATCAGGTGTTACTGAGAGCAAGCAAAATACAAATCTTGCTCCAGGCTAGGTTAATTTGATGACTTATTCATTAATAGTTAAGAAAAAAATGCTGTCTTTTCCTGTGAAATACATGTATGTATTTTCACACTGAAAACTTAAACACCTGCCAGTGTGCCAGTCAGCCCGACACTGGCAATTTAGGTCTACACGCCTTTGGTATATAATTCGTATATGGCTGATGGATGATGGTACAAACTTCAACTCTTTAAGAAGTGAAGTGCCACCAGTACTGGCACAATGTTGGTCTTGGTGGTTGTTCTCAGAAAATTAAATCGAAAGGGTCCTGTAAGCTTGCCAAAAACACAGCTGTGCTCAGCAGTGTGGGTGTTCATATGCCTTGTGTGGGCCCAGAGGTTGATCTGTTTTGTCTCCTATGGCAGCTAACTGAGCAGATGAGTGTTACAGAGAGTAGGTGACAAGCAGTATCAGTCAAAGATGAAACAAACATCTCAGGTGCTGCTAGAACAAAGACCTCGCGAAAGCGGAACTCTGGGTCTCATTCCTGTTACTGAGGAGACTTCTCTTAAGGTACCGTTGGCACTGACGTCTCTGCCCTCTATTCTCCTGCTGCAGTCCCAGGATTTCCTTTGCTTAGGATTATTTCTGAGCTAAGGATGGTACTGGTGGGTGTTTTTAAGCCATTCTATGACTGTGTCCTAAGAATGAGGTCTTGTGCCTTTGCCAAGGATGCAGAAGGAAGCAGTTTTCTCAGCTGAAGTTCTGCTCTGCTGCAATCCCCGTGCAGCACCGCCCTGCCTCCCGTAGCTGCTGCCTTCCCATGCAGCACTGCTGCTGCAGGAGGGAGCCAGGGCCCACACCAAAACTGCAGCTTTGTCCCACAGCTCCCAGCAGCGGCAGCATGCGCAGTGCCAGCGCGGCACCGAGAGCGGCATCGCTCGCACTTACGTCGTGGTGCCGCCGCCTGCAGCTCCTCCACCCTGTAGACTGACAGCCGGTTCACTCCGCCGCACACCGAGCCCTTCTCGCCCTTGCACTCGCTGTTGCATTCCTCGGGCCTGCAGGCGGTGGCTGGGAGCTTGTTCCCACAGTAGCACTCCGCTCCATACGCCAGACCCGCGTAGGCATAGGCCCTGTGGGTGCAGCACAGGCACGGTCAGAATGGGCCCTTCGAGCACCCTGTGCGGGGTGGAGGCCTGGTAGTGCCCTCTGAACGCGCTGTGTGTGCTGCACGCTGCTCCTTGGGGTGTGCTGGGCTGGGAGCCCCAATGCTGCCGGGGCTGTACTGCAATGAGCGCAGAGATCTGGGCTGAGGAAGCACCTAACCAACAGCTGACAGAATGCCACATTTTGACCAGATCAACAGAAAATGCATCTAAGTAGCTGTGCTGCAGTAAGAGCAGTGGATGGGCGGCAGTGACACAGTCTGCCCCAGACAGGGTAGCAGAGCTGCTATACGTTGGAAGGTCTGAGACAGTCAAGGTTTTCACTGATGCTGCATGTTTACTGTATGTGGGCTTTTCCCATCTCAAATACAGCTCTGCTTACTGTCAGAAAAAAGAGAACTCACTGTGAAAGAGCAGCTCACCTCTCAGCACACGCCTCCTGACAGTGAGCCACTGTCATTTTTCGTAAGTCGTAGAATACAGCTCCCTTCAGTGTCCTCTCCTTCGAGTCATCGCTGAAGCAGCCCACGTAGGTGCCTGTGTGCATGTAAGGCAGAGTCAGGACATGTGCACAGCTGCAGGTCTCAGTCAGGGCTGTGCTTTGAGAAGGGCAGCAGCCATCCCCAGCTGGGTGCTGCCAGGGGGCTGCGTGGGGTCAGAGCAGATGGTCCTTAAAACGGTGGGACTGTGGGGTACCCTTTTGGATTTCTCCCAAGTTTTTTTCAAAATCTTTAGTTGAGAATAAGATGGTGCAAGAAAAATGTTAAGAAAATCAATTTCCTTTGGGTATGTAAAGTTATATTAAAGCTATAATGGAAAGATAACTCCAGCCCTAACTAGGCAGCGTTGCTTCTATCACGTTAAGCTATCTTCTCTGGAGTGAGAGAATCTTTTAGCTTATGTCTTGCTTTAGTTAGCATATGAAAGACAAGTATTTCTGCTATACCGAATCCTCTCTTAAGCCTCTTTTGTTGTCCTGAACAAAACACAAATCTAGCCTGTTTTTGTTTTGTTTTGTTTTGTTTTATGTGATTGGAAGGCTGAGGTAGCACCCTGCTATTGTACAGCAATTTTGTGGTTACAGGTGCATGTTATCATTAATATGCGATGGAGAAAGGAAATTTGATTTTGGATGTAGCAGTATTGAGATGACAATGCTGGGAAATTATATAACAGGAGTTGCGGAGAGGAAGAAAATATATGATGAAAACCCAAATTAAAAAGCATTATATTAACAATAAAATAGTCTAAAATAAAGTTAAAGCCACTGTCTGCTGGGCAGAGCCCAGGCACAGCTCTGTCTGGCACTGAGCATCCACAGGCACTGTGGCCGCGGGGAGAGTGCTGTGCTCAGAAGGGATCAGAGAGCAAGAATGAGGCTGCATGGCCGTAAGGAGTCAGGGAGATAATATGCTCTGCACAGGAAGTTACATTTTTAATTGATCATAATTTCCAAAAGCTTTCTAATGCTTGTTAGCAATACTGTTATTAACAGTGTCACTTCGTGTTCAGATATTCAAATGATGTGTATTTGAATCAACATAATTCAATGGCTGGTAGCAATAAATAGTCCTTCTGGCTGCCTCAGTCAGCAATTAGAACTCGAGCAAGGCGCTAGCTTAATGACTGACACGGGCACTAGCCTTAACTAATGTTATGGATAATTTTCAAAATTAATCCTTTCATTTCTAAAAGAAGTTTTAAAAGCAGTTCAAGCAATGTGCAGAACGAGTTCATGGTCTGTCTCATATCCGAGTAGCTCAGGCACTCACTGTGTTGCTCTACCTTTTATCTACTCTTTCATTAACCAGAAAAAAATAACCCAGCCCCACCAGGGTGAAGAGCAGGCCATGGCTGAAGGGAACCAGGAGCTGGCAGCAGGCAGAGCTCAGGGCCAGCTGTGCCCCACTGCAGCCCGGCAAGTCTTGGAGGGTTCCGTTGATTCTTCTCTGGATTTCTATCCACAAGGAGTCCCTTAAAGCAGGTGCTGGCCAGTGCCAGGTTCAGCTGGTGGTGCCAAGACCATGTGCTGCTTGTGGCAGCCCATCTGCCAGGTGAGCACCAGGTCCCCATGCCCGCATGCTGGGCTTAGGTCAGCATTGGGCTCATTTTGTGCTTGGCCAGGTGCTGCCATTGGGCTGCCTGCCCAGAGCAGGCCGGGAAAGGCAACAGGCTGCTGGGAGAGCCCTTGCTCCTGTGAGCAGGATGTTGGCAGCAGTGTGTAGAGCTCTGTGCCTCAGAGGCTCCAGCAGCTGCATGATGCAGCTTCACATACTGCCACTGTTGCCTTCTTGTTTCCATTCCCAGCATTTCACACAGTAGGAGTCGCTTGGTAGCGTGTTTTAGTGGGATTTTTGCAGAAGGTGCTCCTTTGGATTAATTTTTTCAACAGAAGAAGGAGCAGTGTAGTAACATGGTGCCTAGTCCTTCTGATCCCATTCCTCTTGCGCTGCCAGTTCTTCTGAAAAGCAGTGCATCAAAGACAGCAAAGCCATAGCCCCGTGCTGCGGCTTCAAAAGAGTAGGGTGTTGAACAGCGGGCACGCAGGGGCTTCCTGCTGCTGATGTCTGATGCTGTGCTGAGAGCAGCCTGGCCTTTTTCTTATGTGAGTGGCAAAGCCCTGCGCCCACAGGTGCCAGGAGGTCAGATCTGTACAGCTGTTGGTACAAATGGCCAACACATCCCTGCCTCCCTAATCGCAGTGACCCAGTGTGAACCCTGATGCTTTCTGCATCCCTGTGCTCAGCCTCCAGGCAAGCAGAACTGGGGCTGCAGCATGGTGAGAGCAGGCAGTCCCAGGGCAGGAACCGTGCAGAGGTGTGAGTGCCTGGAGTTGCCTGTTTTGCTTCTTCGTTTGCCCTGGGGACTGGTTTTTATGAGATTTTCTACTGAATAAACCATAGCGGTTCATGTATGTATTTATTAGTAGCAGTAAGTATTGGGCTCGCAGGGAAGTGAGCTCTGATTTCTGTCAATCCTGAACTGCTTTCCATTTAAGATATTATTTAATCATGAGGATTGGAAAATGCAGTTTTGTACCTTCTGCTCTGGCTGCTAATGCGCTGCCCTGGCCCTGCCCCGTGCAGTGGTGCGCACTCCCCTGCAGTCTGTTGGCTGGTGGCAGATTTCCATCAAACTCACCAAACACTGAGAGTTTGATCCAGGGGTTCTTTCTCATTTGGAGCTCAGGTAGGGTCTAAAGGAGTGGCGTGCACCTGTGCTTCATCCCTCTGAAGACAGCGTGCTTGTGGGGATGGCTGCAGAGGGCAGGTCAGGAAGAGGAAATGTGTTTGTGACAGTAGAGCTGAGTCTGTGTTGGAGAGCAGAAACGTACTTCTAAACAGAAGTTACTGCGTGGCTTTAGACAAGTAATGTAATAAAACTCATTTTTAAGTGTTCCCTATGCTGAGAAAGAGAAACAGCTTTCAGCAGCATTCTTCTCTGCCTGCTTGAAGAGAAAATCATTTAAATCAGAAGAGTATATTTCTCTCTGGACTTGCACTCAACCAGCAGAAATACATTTCTGGAGCTACAGCTCAGTGTGCAGGGACACAGCCTTACTCCAGCCTGCACAGGCCTTTAGGAACTGTTGTGGAAGTGCTGCTGAGCTGCGGGAAGGTGCTTCTGGCGCACCTCGCCAGGCCTGCTGGTTTCTGCTTGGGTTGGACTGTGGGGCAGCAGTTTGTGCGCCTGCCGGAAGGCGGGCAGAGGGCGCGTCCTTACCTTTGTGCTCGGCGGTACCCCTCGTGGCTCTGAGTCCCGCGGTCTGCATGGGCTCCTGGTCGCCAATGAACCTGTGGAACCACCTCCTCCGCAGCCACCTCAGCTCTGAGTTGCGAGGTGCCATCCAGCGCAGGCTGTGCTGCGGTTCCGCCCCTGGCAGCGTGTCCTTTCCCAGGGGGAGCTGGGCACCAGGGCTATGCGCCAGGCGAGGGTCTGCAGCCTTGGCTCCCGGCCCCGTGTCTGGCCCTGGCAGTGCCAGGCCCGAGGCCCCGCGTGGTCCCTGCTGGGCTGCGAGGCGGGCACGCTGCAGCAGCAGGAGGCTGCCAGCCATGAGGTACGCGGCAGTCAGGAAAAAGAGCAGAAACTGGGTCCGCCGAAGGAACTTCTGCAGCCTGAAGAACGCTTTGGCCATGCCCCCACTGGAATGGGCCTTCACACCTCCCAGCGGGCTGCTGGGCGCCCACCTGAACAGGTGCTGCTTCCTGCCATGGGTTCAGCCCATCACTCCAGCACTGCTGCTCCATACATGGCTGTCAGGGCCCCAGGCAGCCACCAAGCCGGGCCGAGTCCTGCGCGGTGCCATGGCCAAGCCGCTCGCTGCACCTGCCGTGCCAAGGGGAGAGCGTCAGCGGAACCGCGCTGGTCCTTGGGGTACCCTCCCTGCACCCTCCCTTCAGCCCAGCGCTCCTCCATCCACTACTTATAATTATGTACTTTAATGACAATAATCCTTTGAGAATGACTGATTGAGCAGCAGATAGCTCCAGCTATCCAGCATTACCTTTCTTGAGCTAGAACTGTGCAAGAAGTACAGTTATAATGAGGTGATTTCTCTAGAGGTGTTTGGAGAAAGGTTATTTATTTTTTTTTGTCAATAGTCATTTTCTCCCTTCTTTGTCTGTGGCTGGAATGGACAGACGTTGCACAGGCATCTTTCTAGCAAAGCATTGGCAAATTCCTTCCTTTTAGTTAAGCAGTAGCTAAGCTACAAATGCTGATCAGAAGGAAACAGCAGTGTGGGCGTGGGGAGGAAAGAAACTGCATCAACTGCCAAAGGACAGGAAAATTATTAATCTCTTTGCAGTTGAAGGCTATGTGTGAGGTGTCACATGTCACTGTGAGAGGAACCAGAGGTCCTAGGTTTTTTTTTTAGTCAATTTTTATTGACAAATATCAACATGCAGAGGTGCATGGGAAAAGAACAATGAATGTCTGGAATAAAAACTAATTTTGGATTTAGCCAAATACTTCTGACCACTTCTGAGCTTTGCAGGCTTTAATTGTGTTGATGTGTACCGTGATGGGATTGCCTGGGAAAGGAAAGCTCCATTGTGCTCTAGGGAACTTTAACCTCCTGTAGTGAATACAAAATGGCATCTCCCCACAAGTTCCTGCTTCCCTGGTCAACAGCTTCTTTATGGGGCCAGGCAAGCGCTAAGGATGCAATGTTCTCCAGGAAGGAAAATATTATGGCTTTTGCTTAACTTGTCATTGGAGCATCCTCTGGAATCTCCAGTCCCAGCAAAGAAGCATCTCTGCTGAACTCCTTGTTTCTCATTTACATTTTTGTGGCTATTCACTCACTCTCTTCAATAGACGTTAGCAATTAAAAGCCTCTGCTCTTTCATTTAGTTGTACCATTTCTTTCTATCTTAAACAGCAATCAGAAGCAAGGCTCAAAAACTTCTAAGAAAAAAGCACTCTAAAGCCCAGCTGGATGTGCTGTCAGTGGAGCCGGAATTCCTTGACGAGGCTGAGCAGGGCTGGCACTGGACCGGGCTGGCGGCCTGCTGGCACTTTGTGGTGCTGATCTCAGCCATAGCACTGAAAATAGGGGGTGCCCTTGTTTCTGCTGTTGTACTTACTCTGAGAGCTCAGTGTGACAAGGGCCTGTCCTCCCGCCAGTACCTGTGGGTTTTTAGCAGCTGATGAGCTCTAGAGAGACAGCACTATGGGTACAAGGCAGCAGTGTGCTTTAATAAATTAAGATCACTTTCCCGCTGTGAAAGTGATCCCAACTCCCTTTCGATTAGCTCCAAAGCCAAAAAGAAAAAAAAAAAGAAAAAAAAGACATTGATTTACAGCAGTGGAAGAGCTGACCCTTAGATTTAAATTACTGAAAATCTCTGATTAACGTTGTGAGTGCTCAGGAATTACAGTAAAAGGGTCAGAAGTACCTAGACAGATGAACAGAATATGAGCTACAGTTAGACACTGCAGAGTGCCGCCATGCTCATCTATCCAAGAACAGAGCGGAGTCCCAGCACAGCGCTGTGTGCGGCCACCATGGCACTGCTGGGCCTGCGAGGAGGGGCTGCCGCTGGGGCTCCCATGACTGCCAACCTGCCCTCGCACAGCGGATAAAAAGTTTAAATGGCATGAGGCAGTTTTACTGCAGCCAGTGTGACGTACACAGAGTACCTCCAGATGCGTTCGCCCTCGCTGTGGTTGCCATGACAGTGCCTTGTAGTAAAAACCAACCAAACAAATAAGCAGACTCTCCGCCCACAGCAACTGCTGCAAACGTACTATGCAGAAATTAGATGTTGCACTTAGCGGGGAGATGGGGAAGAGTGCTGCTGACATTTAAAAAAAAAAAGTAATTCGATTTTTCCGTAAACTGTACACTGCAGTATCATCGGAGCACGCCTAAAAGAATTGAAGTGCGTCGCTTCTGATGATGGTGTTAAAAAGGAAAGAATAAGGAGGATGAGAAATAGTATCTGGTAATAGAAAATGTGCCATTTGTCTTCTTTACACAGATTTCACTTAAAATAAATGAAATGAAATAGAAATAGAGTCTTCCATTCCTATTTATCAGTTCTGGTAGCCGAAGGGTTTTAGGACTGTATTAATTGATAGTTGAGTTAAAGTCATTACAATCATAAAATAATAATAGGAAGGACTTTGAAATGGGTAATGAGAACTGCTGAACAGTGGAAAACCCTCCAGGTGAGGAGAGCAATGAAAGGGTCAATGCTGCACCAGGAAAAAAGGGAAAATGAGGAGCAGTGGATGCTGTGCTGGCACCTGCTGACCCACAGCGTCCACCACGTGCAGCTCTGACGGCGAGCAGAGGTTCTGTTTTATAAAACAGCTCTTTATTCTTATTTCATATTCATTCATATTACTCACTTTAGCAGCTGCAGGTGCACTTTTCACCATGTGGAAGCCAGATAGCCATTTGTTCGTTTGAACAGCGGCCTTCAGCTGTTTGTGCCTGGAAATGTCAATAGGGAAAAACAGCATTCTGTTTTTCTGTGTATTTCTCTAGTATTTCTGTTTATGGCGCAGATAGAAATACCCTATGGGGAAGCTTTGCAAGCAGGGCTAATTGCAGAATTATAGGATGACTCTTATCTGGAATTCCAGAATCAGATCTGTTCTGACATCTTTCCTGGAACGGCCAGTTCTGGGACTTCTCTCACTGTCCTGGGACAGCCAACTGCTTAAGAGAAAGATTTCCCTGAGCACAGCATGGCTGGGTGCGGCGATGTGCTGGCCAGGCTCAGCTCAGGAGCGCTGCGGTGCTGCATGGATGCCGGCGGGCTGCGGGCGCGGTGCTGTGCCACCCGCTCTGTGGAAATGCTGCGCTCCTACCAGCACCTGCACTGAAGCTGCTTTGCTTCCTGCAAGCTGTGTTGCTGCCACCCTGCCCCTCTGTGGAGTTGTGCAGAGCACCAGGAAGTGCCGGAGCACAGCCCAGGAGCTCGGCACGCTGCACCTTGGAGCATGTCCATGGGACTGCGCATCCCAACCAAGGCACCTCCCAGTCTGATTATTGCTGGTTTCCTTCTAGTCCTTGTGTTCTTTCATTACGTGCATAGTACCAGATTTATAAAGTACCATAAAGGAGTTGTTACAAGGAAAAGCAGGTCAGAAGCTTGCTTCCAAAATGATCTCATAAATTGTGATTTTTAAAAATGTCACATTAGGCAGCTGCACTATCATTATATTGTCATCTCTAAAGAGAAATAAACAATGTAAAATTCTTGGTGATTCTGCCCGCTGAGCTAATGGCGTAATTCCAGAAACCATAGGGGAGCACCGAGTGCTTTTACCAGTGCTGTGGAGGCTGATAGGGCTGAAGACAACAAAGAATATTCCCAGGTGTGCAGGTGAGGAGCTGCCCCAAGGCCCGTCCTTCTATGGGGTGTTCACTGAAAGAACTCAGATCAATACCGCATCGAAGGCTGCAGCCCTTCAATAGCAAATCTTGTCTAAAGACCAGCAGGATTTTGCAAATTCAGAGTTCTTGGCACAAAAGCAAAAATCAGTTTTCTACTGCAAACTGAAGGCAGTGGGACTCGTGAAAACTATTTTTAGAAAAAGAAATCCATCCCTTTTTCACATTTGTCCTGTATATCCAAGCAGAAGGCGACCAGCCATAATCTAATCTTCCATTTCCCAGATGCTCTGCTTGGACAGTCAAGGCCAACAGCGTGCTGCACCATTGCATGGATGTGGGGCAGAAAGAAGCATTTGGGAAGCTGCTAGTTTGCAGCTGGGGTCCTGTCAATAATTTATAGGTCACTAAGACTAAAAGCATCTTGTGCCTCAAATGGAATCAGTAGAGTTCTCCCAGTTTCCAAATCATGGGGTATGAGAGAAAAACAAAGATGTGGATGAAGGCTTTTCACTGGTAAAGCAGCATGTGCTGCAAGTATGAATTAGAGGACGCTCTGCTGCTCTTCTGTCTTAAGCCAGAACCCACTCAGATCAAGATACAGTTTGATGCTGATGGATTTTGGCTTAAATCCATTGGTACTTTTTCTGGTTTGTTTAGAAAGTGCCATGGGGCATCCTCTCACTAACTGGACAATGTATCTTAGAAATTTATGCTAGCAGTGAGATGAGGTGTGAGAAACAGGAGCTGACCGCTGACCCTCCTGGCAGCTCCAGGGCTCAGATAAGCACCACCCACCCTTCCCTGGAGGCTCAGGGCAGCAGCAGCGGAGGAACTGCACTGCCACAGGCACTGCCAGCCCCAGCCTGTGCCGGAGGGTGCGGGGCTGAGCAAGCTCAAGGCTTGTGGCCCATTTTGCACAGCTGGGGCAAATGGAACCAGGCTGACCGTTAAGAGCACTTCTTTAGCTTGAAAATTAGAGTGTAGGGATGCGACCACCCAGCATTGTGGGGAACAGTCACTTTTGGGGTCACCAAAGAGGACATCGCATGTGCAGGATCTCTGTGCTCCCATTGAGGGTTGTGCACTGCCAGCAGTTCTGTGGCCCCATCCTGCCTGGACTGTGCTGTACCCTTCCCATCCCTGCCCTCCATTCATGTGGGAGGAGAGCCCTGGTGGCTGTTCTCCTCTGGCCCCAAGGCTGGTGCTGTGGGCAGATCAGCAGTGGGGAGGCCATGGCAGCCCTTTGTGAGCCTCACCAGGTCCCCCAGCTCTGCAGCTGCCAGGCTCTGTGAGGGTTTGTATGAACCACAAGAAACAGGACTCTACCCCGTTCCTTCCCAAGGCCCCCACCCCAGTCGTCTGATTTAGAGCATAAATTGGCTTTTAAATATTCCTGTGTACTAACTCTCCCGCCCCTTCCCATCAAAATGAAGCTGATCCCCAGGATTTTTGGTAAAGTCACAGTGAGACCACTGACATTCTTCATGTTAACTTTCAGGAAGCATGTAACTTTTTAAAATCACCTAATTCCTTTTTTGTTAAACAAGCAAACACAAAACCATGCATGCAGGGACCACCAGCCTGTGCTGCCCGCTGTGCTCCCAGCTGCAGGAGCAACGTGCCTGGGGAGTGCGGCGCAGGAGGACGGCTCCGTGTGAGCAGCCCTCTGCAGGCCCCAACCCTGACAGCACACCGTGAGGTCTGCCAGCAGGCCGGCGTGTGACGGGCACCGCAGCGCTCCATGTGCTGTGCTGGTCAGTGGGGCAGCCCAGAAAGGTTTCCCAAGTTTGCTCCTTCCTCCCTTCCTTCTAGCAAGAAGTGTGATTGCTGCAGGATGTATCAGATTGCGAAGTTAACTTTGATATGGTGTTAAAGCTGTTGAATTATCATGGTGATCAAGCAGAAAAAAAGAAATCTTTATGCAGAGATGTCAGGGAGATGGGGAAATGGTGTAATGTGTGAAGTTAAGAAGATACAGCCTTATACTGTGCACAGAAGCCAACACAACATAGGAGCTGTTTTGCAGCTGATAATAATTTGGCTTCAGAAGAGGAAGGTGATGCCACAGAGCAGAGCTGCAGTGTGAGCACGGGGGCTGCCAGCACTCGAGTGCACTCAGTCGCTGCAGCTCTTTCACCAGATGTGCCGCTCGCTTAAGACCAATCTGCTAGCACGGGTAGGTGGAAAGCTGGAAAACAGTGCTGTCGGAGGCACAGCAGCCTATGGAGAGCGCTGCAGAACAGCCTGCAGGAGGCAGCTGGTCCGGGAGCATTTGTTGTCAGACAGACTAGGGAAGTGCTCGGAGGCATCTGGGAGCAGAAGGCACAGCGGCTGCCTGGTGCTGCTCTGGGAGCTCCTGCCTGTCTGAGCGACAGAAACAGCCGAGCTGTGGTTCCGTGCCAATGGGGAAAAGAAGCAAACATACGTGCATACAGTCCTACATTTTACTTGTACGTACACAATCTATGTGTATGCACCCCATTCCACAGAGGGACGTGCACTCTCAAGAGAGCTGCAAGTACGTACTGCAAGCCTTCTGTCATTACTCGTGATAATCTACACCCAATTAGCAAACAGTATTCTTGGCCCTAGAAAGTATTTTGCTCACTGATATACTGCAGGTGCATTACGTGCATCCCTGATACTCAGAGCCGAAACACCCCGCAGAGGGTGCAGTACGTGCAATTTCAAAAAGAAACAAACCAACCCACAAAACAACCACCAGCACTGCGGCTGTGGGTTTAAGTTTTCCAAGAGCTTGTTATAGACAATGTAGCATAGATTGATTTTTTTCTTATCCCACCATAGCAGGAGATATTTTCCTGTGCGCTTGATAATCTGCTGGAATTAAAACACCGCGCAGATCTGTAACTACATCACTGCGTTTAGGCAGCGTCTTTCATAAAACCCTCAATCCCAATCCCCGCGGCATCCACCCACTGCACACCGTTGGTCCGTAGCCGGCACGGTGACGCTTCAGAAACCGTCCTGGAGAGCAGAGCCTCCCGCCTGCCTCCCCACACACACACCGCATCCCTTCCTATTTTCCGAGACCAGTATTTTGTGGATGCTCAGAAAAGGGCATCTCGGCAGGAAACGGCGTTCTTTACGAGTAACACAGCTGAGCTTTGCGTACGCCGCGGACAAACGCGCCGGCCGCAGCAGCCACGGAAGCCGCAGCGGATGGTAAAGCCCCGGAGGCTGCAAAAAGTTGCCCTGTAATTACTCGCCTCGGAGCCGGCTGACGAGTACCCCGCAGAAGCGGCCAACGCGGCCGTTTAAGGAAACGAGGAGAAATCTCACCTGCGCTCCGCGGTCAGGGAACCTTCGTTAAGGTGAGGCGCGATCCCGGCCGACCCGGCGGGTATCGCTGAGAGCCGCGGCGACGTTCCCGCAGGCGGCCGATCCGCGCCGCGCCGCGCCGCACGCTGACCCCGCGCCGCGGAGCCGCGCCGCTCCCGCGCTCGCCCCGCCCGCCGCGCCGCCCGTCAGCCGCCGCCCGCACGTGCCCGCTGCGCGCCGCCCGCCGCTCCCGCGGACGCCGAGGCAGGGCCGGGCCGCGCCGCCCCGCCCGCGCTCCGCAGGGCGCCTTCGGCGGCGACGGCCCGCAGCCCGTCGCCGTGCGGGTGTCGGTGCACGCGCGGATCTGCGGGCCGGGGGAGCGGCCGAGGGGCGCTGCCGCTCCGTGCGGAGGCGGCTCCGCGAAGCCCCGCCCTGCCCGGGGGTCCCCGAGCCGGCCGGCGAGGTGCGGGGCGTCATTGCGGGGCGTCATTGCGATCTGCAGCGCTACACGCGCAGTTCGTTTGTGCTGCCGCCTCGCGTGAAGAGTTACTGATTCGTTTTAAGAACATCCGTCCTTACGTGGGATAGGCGGCCGCCGTAAGGCTGCGTGTGCTTTTGGGGCACCTCGGAAGCTTCACATCTTCAAGTCAGGCTTTGGGCAAGAGCGCGGGACTCAGGACGGCCGTAACGCTGGGAGTGCCGGGGGGTGGGAGAGGGGGGCTGCTTTTGTCTGTGGAGCACCCCCTTATCGTGGGCAGAAGGTCCTAGGAGCAGGTTTGCAGCAGCTGTCGGGTGCAGAAATTGAAGAGGGAAAATTAAAGGGTTTCAAGCTGTAACAGCTTTTATATACACCTGACGATCCTTCACGTTCAATAAGATGGGGAAATGAAAATACACTTTTGCTCTTAGCAAACATTTTCTGGAACTGAATATGTTGGTAGGGCTGCAGCTGTGCACCGGATTTGGAGTTGTGAGTAACCAAGAATCTGGACACGGGTTGGAATTTTAACACACCGGTGTCTGGAGATGTTCTCTCAGTCAGTAAGCTGTGCATCTGCAGCCCATCCAGCCTTTAAATGTGTGTGCATACAGCTTGGTGGTTGCAAAAGTTGGAAGTTAATTTTACTAAAATTAATAAAATGTTTAATGTAATGACATTTTTCAGTGTACGGGTAGGTAGGGGCCTAAATCAGTTGGATTACAGGAATCTGCCCAGGTGAAGCAGCAGCAGGAAATGAAGTTCAGAATAATCAATGTAGGAGAAATGATGCTGAGAATTTCCCAGCTCCTGGATCAGCCTGCGGAGTGTCAGCAGTACGACACACATCCCAGGCGGCAGCTGCCAGCTGTCCTTCAGCACAGATCACGGAACCGTTTGTGTTCCGCTGGTTTGTTCAAGACCCAAACCAGCAGGGTCTCTCAGCACCTGCAGGGATGGCAGGGCGGTGACACGCGCAGTGCCGGCGGGGTTCTGTGCCCCCTGGTGCTGCCCCTCACTGCCTGCAGCTGCACCCTGTGTGCGGGACGATGCCTGGGCCCCCGTGCTGCCCAGGAGCAGCTCCGCTCTGTGCTGGTGCCGCTGGGAGTGTGGTGGTGCAAAGTGACTGTAAGGGGTGAGCGGTGAGGGGCACGCCAGGCGTTGGGTTAACCGTGAATGCACAGTAATTACGGCCTGCAGACCTGCAGGCATTCGTGGTGCAGAGGTGCTCAGAGCAGAGCTGAGAGGTACGGTGTGCTGTGTGGGGGGAGGCGCAGCGCAGCACTTGCTGGGAAGGGACTGACTGTGTCATGTGTTCTCAGACCTGGAGCTGCAGGACATGGTTGTGTTTTTGTCTTCTCATCTCTGGCATCCTGTTATGTATGAGAAGTTGTACCGCGATAAGGCCCGTGTAAGTGCCTGCTGCAGCCCTTGTTAAATTACAAGGGAAATGGATTGGATCCTGAATGTGAGAGATTATCTGATGGCTTATCGCAAAATACTGTGAAAATGAGCATAAGAAACATTAAAAGCTGGGCAGTTTGTGCATGTGAAAAAAAAAAAGTTTAATAACGCCATGACAAAGGGGGCAAAAAGTAGGAAAACAAAGCACATGTGTTATGGTTGTGTTGTGAAATCAGTCATTTGGTGGAATGAATGGCAGGTGGAAGCACTGCACAGCAGTAAAATCCTGAGCACTTTGTTCCTCTGCTTGATACCTCTGCTTGTTTGTTGCACAAAATACAGTGCAGAAATTCTGCAGTGAGTGGCACTGCTTTTAGAACCCTGTTGTGGAAGCATTTCCTGTGCTGAATGGCTCCAGCTTTCAGTCACTTCAGGTAACAGCCTCAGCTGTATGGGTACGGAGATCAGGGATGGGTTTTTGTTCATGTGGTTTCAAGAAATGATCTGAAAGACTGTGTGGTTTCATAAATGAAAATAATGTGAAAAATAGTTATCTTGGGGTTTTTTTTATTCTGAATAGTTGGGGGTCAGACACTATGTGTGATACCTATGATTTTCAATTATTTCATGAAATGACTGAGCAAAGCAGCCACTGAGTGTGGTGGTTGACAACATTGTTCTTTTTTCAGAATTGGTGATTTCATTACATAAATGTCATATGATGCTTAGTATAGGGAAAACTATTAAGTCAAGTACAACTACTGGCAAACATGAACGTGGCTTTAGAGCTGCTGGTATTTCAGCTGCCGGTATTTCAGCTGCCATGTACATTATTTGTTGAGGACTTGGCAGATCTGTGACGAATCCCTGTTTCCTCGGACATCCCCCTGAATTTGTTTTAGCTGTGAGAGAAAGGCAGATGCTAGAATGGTACTCATCTGTACAGCAGCAGTATGACTTACAGAGAGCCCACTTGCAGCATATTGGATGCCCTGTGCATGCAGTTCTGGGGGATGCAGCATGGCTCCGCACGGTGCGGTGCAGGAGGGCACAGCACAGATCAGCCCTCTGCTCTGGAGTTCCCTCTGCTGCTGCTGGGGGCACAGCTCTGCACTGCAGGGCTGTGGAAGGACAGACGCTGTGCCTACTAACATAATATGCTTGAAGGGAAGATCCTTTGGAAGATAAATGAGCAGAACTAAAAGGAGAACATACATGAGGGTTTGGAACACATTTCTAGTGTCTGAGTGGAGGTGAAATGCACTGCAAATACAGGAGATGTAGTAAGGAAGAGTTGTGTTGATTTTCCAAATTCTGAAGGAATTTGAAGTGTGGAAGTGGACTTTCCGCTTCAGTGAGGATTGCTGTAACTACAGCTGCTGCTGTTGCTGCTCAACTGCTGGTTAAAGAATGAAGTGTGCTGTCAAAGAACACGTAAAAGTGATGAGTTTTGGCCAGTGTTGTTGCCTTAGAGATCACTGCTGTTTTGTTTCACAGTTTGGACAGGACATCACATAAAGCAGCGAGGGGAAGCTTCGAAGTAAACAAAGCACACTCTGCACACGTGGGTAAGCTGTGCATCTCATCGCTGCCTGGCAGATCACCCAGAGCAGTAGCATGGGAGCGTGGGACTGGCCTGGTTCAGCTGGACGTGGGGAACATTTGTTCTCATGAATGGTTCAGCAGCAAGCTTGCAGGTGGCTGTGAGGCAGCCCTGGCAGTCTGATGGCAAGCTTCTGAAATGAGGAGGTCACACTGTGAACTTGTTGCTGTTCCCTTACTGCAGGCACATATTATGTTTTGTTACAGTTTTTGTCGTGTTTCATTTATGTTCATGTATGTTCCACAGATATATAAATATTTTTTGAAGAAGTGCCAACTGCACAGATGGCGATTGCACGTAGTGCTTCACACGGCAGTGGTGATGGTGTGGTTCCATCCCTGGGAAGAGAAACAGAACTGGTGGAACAGAGCTGAGGTGGTGACGTGGCTTTTCTGCAGCAGTGGCAGGGAATGAGACAGCTCGGTGCTGTCGGCGCAGAGGGGAGGATCGGGGGATCGGCACAGATCTGTGTGAAGCACACAGGCACGCGACAGTGACTTCTGGGAGAGAATCTGTGGCTAGCTTTACAGCAAAAATGAACATTTAGCTGATCTCTGCCAGTCTTTGTGCTTTCAGCTCCATGCAAAAGCAACTAAATATAGGGGATCGTTTGAACTGACCTTAAAGATACAATGGTGATGCAAAGGAATTATTCTTAAGTGGCTGAGAAAAGTAAATTTGCTAAAAGCACTACTCAGAGATTCAGATTCAAATAACAGAGTAGCACGTCTGGTTTGCTAATGGATTGTGCTCTGCAATATGTGTTCAGAAAATATACTGTTCTGTGAACCCATAATCTTTGAGGTGATTTGATTGTGATCTGGGGACTAACAGCCCTCATTACAGGAGATTGCCTGAAGTACAGCAGAGCCACGTGTCGCAGCGTGTGCAGGCTGAGGAGCGGAGTAGGGAGCGGTGAAGGTGGGCAGCCGGCCGCAGGGAGCCTGGCCTGGGGGATCAGAGCATGAGGGAGTGCAGGGCACCAACCTCGGGGACTGCAGACGGAATGGGGAAAAGGGCGTGTTGGCAATCGCAGCCCGTGGGCCTGAGGGCTTCCTGCTGTTTGAGCGCCTTCAAATATAACTGGAATGTCTGTTCCTTCCTGGCATTGTGTCCGGGCGGAGAGTCCCTTTGTGCTGGGCTCAGGGAGAGACACAGTCCCTGCCCCAAGCAGCTTGCTGTCTTTGTCCTTCCTCTGTGAGTGGTTTCCAGCCTCAGAAAACAGCTTAAAGTCGTGATGTTTTCCTGAGTGCTGCCTTTTGATGTCTGCAACCTGTATTATCTTTTATGTGCAGCTGTTTGTGGAGAAGGAAGGCCATAGTGCCTGCAGCTCCACCAGCACTCTGTGCCATGACCAGGCTAGGGCAGGCCCTGCTCTGCTCTGCTCTGCTCTGTTTGCTCAGCGGGGGTTGCACTTCAGTGGAGGCTCAATTGGAGGTGCTCGCAGCTTCCATCAAATGAGCTGCTTCTATTACTGCCTGAAGGCTCAGGCTTCTGACAGGTTAAGTAATAGCTGCTTCTTTATTTTTAGTGGACGATAGTAAACTTGAGTATATAGAAAGTCACCTGAGTAATAAACATTTGAATGCCTGAATGTCTGTACCATAAACACCATCAGTGCCTCTAAGAAGCCTCTGCAGATTCTGTAGAGAAAAGCACTGGACTCGATGATTCATTAT